TGTGTGTGTGTGTGTGTGTGTGTGTGTGTGTGTGTGTGTGTGTGTGTATGGAAAAGATGTCTTTTGGGGGAGTGTCACCACAGTGGCCAACCCCAGGGTCTCTTACCTTTTCATACTCATCCTCATTGCAAACACTCAGGCTGCCAGGGATTTTCTGTCCCCTGAAAGCCACTGGGCCAACTTTCAAAATGTTTTACTCTGTGTGAGTGAGCACATTTCTTTCTGAACCTTGGTTTTCTCAGCTGTTAGCCCCCCCCCCACCCCCAGGACTGTGAGGGAGCAGGGAAGAGGAATATAGGTCTCCTTCTTCTGCCTTCCCTCTCTCTCTTGCCTCTGCTCATTCCTGGTCTTGTTTGCCGTTCTTCCCTTGGAAGGCCAGAACGGAAGAACAGGGAGGCATGGAAGAAAACCCCCTGTCGGTGGGCAGACAGCAGGAAGGGACGGAGTCCTCGGATCCGGAAAACACAAGGGCAAAGAAGGTAAATTTGTCCTGTCTTGTTGCAGGAGTCACCCATTAGCATCGGGGGTTCAGCCACAGGGGCTGGTTATGCCTCACAGTGGCTCTGCTGGGACTGTGTAAGTCTCCATGAGGGCCTCCACCTTGGCGCTTTCTGAAGGACAGGCTTCGTGGAAGTCTTTAGATGTCTTCATTGGAGATCTTCAGCCGCATGCCTGGCTCTGCCTCCCTCTCCTGCAACTTGGCTGCTCTGCTAAAAGAAAACATATGCCCAGAAAAGACTCAGGCTTCAGAGCCAGGCTCCCAAAATAGGCAGTCCCTTAGTGGGTCGGGGACACGAGTGCTCAGGCTACAGTCCTGACCTCGGCAGGCCCAGCCCCCGAGAGTAACAAGACATTTTCTGTGTTTTATAAAAGATTATTTTTGCCTAGTTAAAAAGCAAAATCCAATTGCTGTCCTTCTGGGCTGGGAAGAAATGTCCTTGGATGATGGCCATTTTCGTGCCTTTCCGGTCAGGGGAGACTCATGTCTTGAGTGTGCGCCAAGCCCGTGGGCTGCTGGGAATGCCAAGGGAAAAGTACCAGAGGGCAAGTGTGGGATGGAAATCGCTTTGGTTGTGGGTGGAAGTTGCACCTTTGCTGAGAGAAGGAGTTTTGAGGAAGTTAGTGAGTGGTTTCTCCACAGTCACCTTTAGTGATGGCCGCACTTACAAAGGAACAGCTCTGATAAGCACTTAGTATTTATAATTTATCCACTCATTCAAAAATATTTATGAATACCTATTATGTAGCAGGGATAGGGGCTTTTGTGTGTGTGTGTGTGTGTGTGTGTGTCATTTTAAACATGGCCGATCAAGCAGCAAAGGCTTAGTCTGAAGCTTGTGTCACTCTGGGGACCATTCCAAGGGTGATTGAATACAGTGAGACTTGAGGGGCTCAAAACCCCTAAGTGCCCAGTAAATGCTTCCTGAGGAGGAGGAAGAATGCTGACATGAGGGTTCCTATAGCCAATGCATATGGCTTCCGGCTGGATATTCTTAGCCACCATCTGATGCCCATTCTGCATCCTCATACAGGAACAAGATTGGGAGAGTGGAAGTGAGGCTGAGGGGGACAGCTGGTACCCCACAAACATGGAGGAGCTGGTCACAGTGGATGAAGTGGGGGAAGAAGATTTCATCATGGAACCAGACATACCGGAGCTGGAAGAAATTATGCCCATTGCCCAGAAAGACAAAATCTTCCCTGAAATATGTGCCTGTGGGACAGCCACCTTAGGTCTGGACTTGGCCAAAGGTTTCTCCAAGCAGGGAGAGACCATAGGGAATGGGGATGCTGAACTCAGCTTCGCGCTGCCCAGACAATTGCTGTCCACTTCCGCAAGCTGTCCCAATGACTCGGACATGGAGATGCCTGGCCTAAATCTGGATGCTGAGCGGAAGCCAGCTGAATGTGAGACAGGCCTCTCACTGGAGGTCTCAAATTGCTACGAGAAGGAGGCTAGAGGAGCAGAGGGCTCGGATGAGCGTCTGGCCCCTGCGGCCCAGCAAATGTCTTCCCCCCAGCCAGCAGAGGAGAGGGCCCGGCAGTCCAGTCCTTTTACAGATGACTGCAAGGCCAGGGGATCCCCTGAAGATGGGGACCATGAAGTCAGCCCCCTGGAAGAGAAAGCCAGCCCTGCTACTGAAAGCGACCTCCAAGGCCAGGCTTGCCAAGGTGTGTTGACCGAGGGTAACTACCTTCCTTTCCCTCACGGGTGGTTGGGCGGACTGGACCACCGCTTCCTTCAGGATGTGTGCGCATGTGCAGACTGGAAGAGCCGAATGGGAGTCACCGTAACTCTGTGGCAGAAAGTCTAGAAGCAAGCCTCTGAAGGCCTGGCTAGACTGTTAGAGTGAATGGTGTGAAAGAAATCTGACAGAGACCCCTGTGTTCTGAGCAGCCACCTCAGAAAGGCTCGATTTCTCTGCATTACGGGGTTCCACTTAGGCCTGGGCAACTAAGGTCAGGTTGAGTTTTCAGTACAAAAAGCTTGGGTTCTTTTTGATGGCCTGCTGCCCTTTCCTGAACAGCAGAGACCCCTGGCAATTATTTCTATGAAGGGGTGTCGGGGGTGGGGGTGGGGGGTGCTACACAGGGAAGGAGGGGCTTTTGCTAAAGGTCTTGGCGTGGGTTCCTTCTAACTATCTCAGACCCGTTTTTCTCCAGGGTCTGATAGTGAAACAGAGCTTATCGCAGAAACAAGTCCGCCTCCACCGGAGGTGATGTTGTGTCTATGCTCAGCGCAGTGACATCATGAACTAAGGCGTCTAAAATGGGCTAAGCCCTGGCTTCTCTGCCAGATGGAAACAGATCCATCCAGGGTTAGGGAGGGTTGTGTGTCGGGGCGGGGGGAGTAGAGTGGAGGGCGGGTGAGTACTCCTTAAGGATCTTACAGTGAAAATAACTAGAGATTCATTTTATAGAACGCTCTCAGCATGATCAAGGCTGGAGTTAAGACTGGTGGAGCAGAAAATATAGAGGAAAGGACGAAAAATAAACATTCCTGCCCAGAGCATTGTGGGTAGCAGCTGGTGGGTGGCCCAAGGCTTGGGCTTGCTTCCATGTCAAGCTGACCTGAGCAGTTTTTCACCTGTCGGGATCTGAGTCTCCATGGAAACTGCCTTGATCCGCCAGTTTGTTGCTAGAGAAAGACGCCCAGCCCATCTAGAGCAGGCATAAATAAAGCGCTCGGGCGTCTTCACCCTCTCTGACAGAGCCCCTTTTATTTTGTGGTAACGGGTCTCAACATGTACTGGTCTCAGGGTTTATTAATTTACCCAATATTTGGAGTTCATGTTTAACAGTGCTGCTCCGCAAGCATGGGGTGAGAGCAGTGTGGCCTTTTGGGCCAGTCTTGGCAGACATCAGCATGATTTCTGCCCTTCAAGGATTCTTCTGCCGCAGAGATGGAGTGATACTGATTTGGGGGTCGTGGAGGGCAGATCATCCGAGCGAAAGCATTAACGATCCATCCCTGTGTGCCAAGTGCAAAGATGTGCCAGGTTTTATTGTGTGTGGCATTTTTTTTGGCAGTGGAAAATGCTCTTAATTATAGCACTTGGGCTCTAATTAGCAGTCCTAGCCCCAGCCTCATGTGATTAAGCAGCCCAAGGGACAATTCCCAATTACACAGTGCAGGGGATAGAATTACAGAGACACTTTGAGGCCTGCAGTATGTTTCATTAGGTTGGGTATGTGTGTGCATGTGTGTGTGTGTGTGTGTGTGTGCGCGTGCGCTCACGCCCGTGGCTTGTCCCCATCTCCATCCTCCATCCCACGGGCTCATATTTTGCAGAGAACTCCAAGTACATGGAAACAAAATCTCTGGATGTGAGATCACCAGAATTTGCCGAAGCGGAGCTGAAAGAGCCCCTTTCTTTGCCTTCCTGGGAACCGGAGGATGTGTTCAGTGAGCTTAGCATTCCTCTAGGTAGGTGAATCGCACAGTCCTTCCTGAATTTCAGCTCCAGGAAATGGAGTGATCCTGAAGTGATGTGCAGGAGCCCAAGAGGGCTTTTGCCGTTGTCAAGTCATTGTTGTTTTTAAGGTGTGATGCAACAGCCCAGATCTACAAGACGGTAAAGTTTCAGGACCCCATGGTAGATATAATACCACATGACCAAGCTGTGAGATTTGGCCAGGAAAGACCCATTTCCCCATCAAGGAATGCTTGGTTCTTGGCCTTGTAGAGGAGACCTTAAGCCCAGGCCTGGCTTAGGCAGGAAAGCAGAAACTTCAGCTACCCCCAAACTGTCAATGAAAAGGAACCCTCTGCTGCTACCTTCCTGCATGTCCTTGTCCCATATTGTTCCAGAACAATGCTACATACCTTTTCTCCTTGATAGATCTGCTTCTCAGAGGCAGTAGAGCCACTGGATATGATGAAGTTGTTAGAGGTGCACGGAACAGAGACCCGGGCCCTTGTCCATCTGCTCATGGGCGTTCTGTGCTGTCCTGAGCCGTAGTCTCCTCACTGATAGCAGGGAGTTGGTTGGACCAGTCACTGAGTTTTCAGTCATGAAAGTATGGTGTGGGGTTCCTTCTGGACCAAGATCTGCGATCTCTGCATTCACCCTGAAACACTGGGGACCAAAGGGATGAAGGATGAGACACTATTCAGAGGGGACTCTCAGGGCAGAAATTCTCTCAAGGAAGTGTGATCAACTGACGGCCATGTCGTCATGACTCACCAGTGTGGAGGCTTGCTCTTCCTATCCACGTTTCTGCTAGTTTTCTTCCGTTGCTGAACTCTAAGCATGCTGTTTTCATAGAATTAGGTTTGAAAAAAATGACAAATCTTGTCCTTAAAAAATAAAAATTGCATAACATTTCTCAAAACAAAATGTGCGTGTGCCTCCCCATGCGCGCATGCATGCATGCATATGGTACGCAGTCCAGAGGGAGATATCGATGGCTCCTTCTCTGTCTTCCCACTTTATTCCCCTGAGACAGGAGCTTATCGCTTTAGGCTGGCAGGTTGGCTTCTGGGATCTACCCCTCTGTATCCTCCAATGCCAGGGCTTCAGAAACGTGCAGCTATGCCTGGCTTCTTACAAGAATCCCAGGGATTAGAATTTGCGTCTTCATGATTGTGGAGCAAGCCCTCTTCCCTATGAGCCATCTCCCTAGCCCTCCCAATGAAAATATTTTTAAAAATGAAAGACAGACCTTAGAGTGAATCATATGTGCTCAGGAACTTTGACTCCAGACGCTGATGCTGCAGAACCTGGCTCTCAGGATCTGCTGTGGATTTATCCATTCAGCAAACAGTTCCTGGGTCAGGTGGCACTATGCCCCACACCCTGAGGGAACCAGGAGTGTAACAAGTCTTAAGCGGGAACTTGGAATCAAGTGACACAGCAAAATTTAAGAGTGAATCCTGCTTCCTTATACAACATGTCTTTACATTACTGTTTTTCTCAACAAAACAAAGACCAAATCAAGTCAGTATTGATGGTCTTACTTGTCCCTCATCAGCCTCAGAGGTGGTGCCGTCATGTTCACAGGTGATTTTCTCCCATACACTCCGTGCTCTGTGCTTTGCCTGTTTTTTTGTTTGTTTGTTTGTTTGTTTGTTTTTGCAGCATCAGGTCTTAGAGATCTCTTCATGTCAGTATACAAAGAACACACTCTTTGAACCACTGCAAATACTTTGTCCTAAAATCTGCACCATTAGTTGCTCGAGCCTTTACTGGTGAACACTTAGACAGTTTCCTGTTTGTTTTTCCATTATGAGCACGTGGTAACATATTTCTTGTCCTCTGTCACCGCTTAGTGTTTTCAGTGCTTTCTATTCATTATTGAGCACTCCCCAAACACTGAGGAGACCGGTGACATCTTGAATCCCTGCTTTACAGCTAAGAAACATGAGATGGAGTCACAAAGCTCTCAGTTGGGAAGGGCTGGCGCTGGGATTCAAATCCTAAGAGTATGTTCTCAGCCCTTGTCTCCTGCCGCTGTCCATATGTGCTTGGTTCCCTCTGTGCGCGAGCCAGCATTTCTGTGAGGTGGGATGCTAGCCAAGCATGGGTGCGCTATGGGCTCATATATATTTGCATTGAAAATGCTATAATTGCTACTAAATTGCACTCCAAAAAGAGAATAACAGCTTTCAGTGGTTCCCCCATCCCGGGTAGAATTCCCATTGCCTACCTCTTTGCCAAATCCAGATATCAGTTTTTAATCTTTGCCCAAGCTGTTAGGAGGAAAATGGAATCTGATTTTGTTTTTGTAAAGGGCTATATTAGAGTGTAATTGGCATACAATTAAAAGTACATATTTAAAGAGTGTGGCTTGATCAGTTTTGACATACATAAGCACCTGTACTGCTTTATGGATTGAACATACCATATTCTGTTTGTTTGTCTACCTACTGATCGGCACTGGAGCTGTTTCCAGCTTGGACCATGACAGATCATCTTCATTTAGACTAGAAAGATGATAGCTTATTGCTCTCTAGTCCTCCACAATTTCCTCCCCCTGCCCCTTGCCAGAAGGGATGCTTCTGTTTTCTGTGTTTGTAATGTGAACAGACTAAACAGCCTTTCTCAAGATCACACACCAAGTTCCAGAACTTGGGATGTCTGTTTTCTGACCATGCTGCCATCTGCCTCCAGTTCAGGCACAGTAAAGGAAAGACCATTGCTGTGTGTAAGAGCACAGACTGTGGCCTCTTATTCCTGAGTTCAAACCCCACCTCTGCTACTTGATGGCTGGGTGACAGATTGCAACTTATTGACCTCTTTGCTTTGAGCTCTTGACTCTGTGAACTTAGCAGACTGATTTTGAGGAGGACATGAATGTAAGGTCTTGGTGCCTTCCAGTAGCAGGAACTTAGGAAAGGCTGACAGACTGTTTGGAATTCCTCTTCGTTGAGGCCCACCATGCTTCAAACCCTTTACAGGCTACAAACCCTTTACAGGATCTGTCAATACTACAGATAGATTTTGAGAAACATGAGAGACAACATTCAGGTCCCTGTGGAGAGCACAGGGTGAAATATGGGATGCCATGGATAGGGATCCCCATTGGGAGAATCAAGAGGTCAGTCGTGTTGTCAGGGTCTGGAGGTGTTTGTGGCTGGAGAAGGGCACTGCCCATGTGATTCAGGCCAGCTCTTTGTGACTCCAGCCAGGGTGAGCCTGCCAAGGCCTGCTCTTACTATAACCAAATAGCATCACTGGCAAAAAGGGAGCTTCCCCCTCTTTCCAACGCAGGCTTTACGAGGATGATGGAGTCATAATTACCCATGCCAGGAGCTATTATTAGGAGGCAAGTGCAGCCTTAATGACCGTACTTAATAAAGCTTGGAGAAATGGAAGACTCGGTGACTCCCGGTCTCACCGTGGCTATGGCAGTGTTTCTTGGAGCTGCCATTTCCCAGTTCCGACATTCAGGCTCCCTGAGGAGTGGTAGCAGGCATTGTGGTATCCTTGCCCCGGGCTGCGCTGTGGTTTGAGGGTCCTCCTGCCTCCACTCAGCTTTCCCTAACGCTGCCTTTTGATTATTGATACTGACCCAACCCACTGGGCAGGGCCTGGGAAGAAAGTTCCTGCCAAACCATGGAAGTGGTTCTCCGAGCAGCCTCGGGAGGGCTGGAGGGGGGCCAACGCTTATATGCTTGGTTTCTGTGTTTCTAAACTAATGTTCTCTGAGCATGGGGTGATATGACAGGTGCCTCCTCACGATGCCACATGGCAGTAGTCTTACCAGCTTACAGACGAGGAAGCTGATTTCAGAGAAATTCAACAATGCCTCTGAGGTCACAGCTTAAATAAGACTGCAAGGCCTGTGTGGCCCTAACTGCCATTTCATTCCACGATTACTGCTGCCTCCAGGATTCTTGGTCTTGCTTTTGGTGCTGTGGCAGGAGGCTTCACTTGAGTGAGATCTTGCACAAAACCCTGTGGATGGTAGCTGTGACCGGCTGGTTCAAAGAAGCCATGGCTACTCAGTTTGGCTCATGCCTCAGTCTCTGGACTCCCCTGAGGTGGTTGGTTATATGCCTGGTCTACACTAAAATCCCCAGGGTTGTGTTTCTAGCACAGCCCAGCGGCACCCTGCCACCCATAGGGTATGGGACAGGACAGGAATCTCTCCTCTTGGATCATGTGTCTCTGAGGCTCCAGGGAAGCAGCAGCCAGCACAAAACTATTTTTCAACAACAGAAGGTGGTAGGCCTTGCTTGACACCCATTCCCTAGCAGCAACTTTCTTCCTCTCCCAAGTGCCCCTCCCTCAAGCTGGGCCACATGTCCATCCTCTACACAGAGGGTAAGAGTAGAGGGTGAGGAAGAAGGACATTCAGCCTCATGGGGCAGCTAGACAGAGTGACACCTTCTTGCCTCTGGGGATTGCTGCTGAATGCTGAGGGTTTTGCAGACAGCAGGCTGACGGCTGTGTAGCATGGAAACTGCCCAGGTTTCTGACTGTGGTATGGAGCTCTGGGCTGGCAGGCTGCAAGCAGTCTCCTGGACACCCTTGCTTCTCCTGTCCTCCCTCAGAGCTGCTTTTCACACGAATATTTTATTATTATTATTACTATTATTTTTTGAGATGGAAAGGAAACTTTTATTTACAAGTTTAGGATCTCCTGTGTGCTGAGCACACGTGGAGGAAGAGGAGGGGCTATGTTGTAGTCAGGAGCCTGGCTCAGGGCCCTGAGGAAGGGGTGCCTTGTCTGGTCCTCCTCTTTGTGAAAGTCGCCATATTCCATTTCTTATTTGTCCCGGATTGCCCCAGCGGAGGAACTGTGAGCAGCACCTCCCCCAGCTGCTGCATTCTGTACACACAGTGAAGATTCCTCTCCAGTGTGTAGAGCCTGGGGACCCTTGGGTTAGCTCCTGTGGTAACACATGTAACCCAGCACTTGGGAGGCAGAAGCAGGTGCATCTCTGTGAGTTTGAGGCCAGTGTAGTCTACATACCAAGTTCAGGGCAGATAAGGCTACAAAGTAAGACCCAGTCTCAAACAAAAACTGCTCTCCACTGCCCTCCAAAGTCCTATATATATCAACAAGTCACAGGGGAAAACATGTTTATGTTAGGGTGAATGGATGAATTTCCCTCTTTTATTTATTTTTGTTCTTCTTTAACAAAAATGACTCTAAAAACAAACCCCAAAACATAGAGACTTTTTCTATACTTGGTCACAAATGCAGAGATGGGAACCAGCACACATGAGCCTAGGAGAAGTGCAGACCCTCCAGAGGCAGGTTGATGGGCCCAGACATGGGGGG